ACCGCGTACATAAAAAAGGCCATGATTCTTTATGTATTACATCAGGATTGGGAGGAAATATCTATTGGTTTGTGGGATGATTAAGAAGGGTCGGGTATAACCTGAGAGACCCTGGGTGGGGAGGAACCCTTGGGTGAGTTCCGCAAACTTAACCCTGCAGAGGGGCCTTAGGCCGTGAAGGCTGAGGAAGGCGGAGCGCCTGCCAGGAAGCACAGGGCCAGGAGGGGTCTGGCCAGGACAAGCCCCACATCCCGGCTCCAAACCAGCTCTTTTCCACTCGGCCACCCCTTCCGTGATGTGGCCACTGAGTCCTCCCTTCAAGGGACAGGGTATTCTCCCACCACTTCCCTCTGATGGTTTAAAAGATGTCCCTCCTGTGTGGCATGCATTATAAAAATAATTTCTTTTTTCATTTTATTTTATTGGCCTAAGTCATATCATGAAAAGGGTATGATGAAGACCACGCTGGGCTGGCAGTTAGGTTTCTGATCCCCCATTCGATACAATTATCAACTCATTGCCCGGCGCCCTAACCGTAGGCATGAGGTCTACATCTCTACCTGCAGGGCGGTTAGAGCAGGGGTGGCAAGAAGAGAGGCGGTTGGAACTACGGGTGAAACCCTCTTTTTCAGTGCATGGTGTACACTCTCTGCTCTGTTCTGACAGATAGAATCCTGGGAACAGAGAGAGAATCTGGTGAGTGAATGACCACAGGGCTCCTGGAGGCTGGCAGTGATGGCTAAGGGAGGCCTCTTTCGGCCATCAGTCGAATCCAAACAGGAAAATCCACTCACATCCCTTAGACCTGTCGTCGTCGTTGGCAAACTGGCTCTTTGGCCCTTTGAGTGCGGCTCTCCCTAAGCCTTAGGAGCACCCTAATTAAGTTAATAACAATGTACCTACCTATATAGTTTAAGTTTAAAAAATTTGGCTCTCAAAAGAAATTACAATCGTTGTACTGTTGATATTTGACTCTGTTGACTAATGAGTTTGCCGACCACTCCCTTAGACCATCACTGCCAACAGAAATGTATTACAAGCCACACATGAAATTCAAATTCATAGTTGCCATGTTGAAAGGGTAAAAAAAGCCTCGTCGATATGGCTCAGTGTTTGAGCGTTGAGCTATGAACCAAGAGGTCATGGTTTCATTCCTAGTGAGGGTACATGCCTGGGTTGCGGGCTCGATTCCCAGTGTGGATATTTTAGGTTAAAAAATACATAGTGGAGCCCAAGCCCCTCGGTGGGAGCATGCGCGCGGCTTGGCGCCAGTTGGGAACTGCCACAGCCCGCGCCAGCCCCACGGGGCCCGGGTAGCTTCAGGATGATCAGCCAGAAGACACTGCACTCCCTCTCCTCCCCCAGCACAGGCGAGGCGGAGGAGAGCGGGGATGCAGCGGTGAGCCCCGCCAAGAAGGCCCGGGCGGGGCAGGAAGAGCCTGGCACACCCATCGCCTCAGCTCCGCTGAGCCCGGAGCAGTTGGTCCACATCCAGAAGGAGGAGGCCGGGGCCCTGCTTAGACTCACGGCTCCCAATCTGCCCGTGAGTATTTTAAAGGGTGTCCCAAAATTCACGCAAGAAGTAATTTTGATAGAAAACACGGTTATAATTAAAAACTGTAAATTTTGCATTGATTCATAAAGTATACAGTATAGGTTTATGTATGGAATAGCACATCGGGTAAATAGCCTCCACGGCTTTGCTGGCACATACGCAAAGCCGTGGTCTTCATCGGCCTTCATTGTCCCTGCTCCTGGGTCATAACTGGTACTTGGTAATGCTTAGCAAATTGAAGGGATTGAAATCAAAGGGCAACAGATATTAGAATCTGATTCAATAAACCAAGTAAAATTAGGCTTTTATTTTTTGTTGTTGTTAATGCTCACGCAAAATTCAAATCTTGTGTGAATTTTGGGACACCCTTTATAAAGCTAATGGGATTTGTCGCAGAAGAAGGAAGACATTACACTGTGTATCCACCCCCACAGCAAGTCTTCACGTGGACCCAAATGTGCAACACAAGAGACGTGAAGGTTGTCATCCTGGGACAGGATCCATACCATGGACCCAAGCAAGCTCATGGACTGTTCCCCCTCCGCCCAGTGTGGAAGACATTTACGAAGCGCTGTCTACAGACACAGATGGTTTTGTGCATCCTGGCCATGGAGATGTATCTGGGTGGGCCAAGCAAGGTGTTCTACTCAACACTGTCCTTGGGGTCAGGTGCATCAGACCAATTCCCGTAAGGAGAAGGGCTGGGAGCAATTTACCGACTTCAGTGGCCTCGCCTTCTCGCTCTGGGGCTCCGATGCTCAGAGGAAGGCCAGCGCCATCGATAGGAAGCGCCACCGCGCGCTGCAGACCGCCCATCCCTCCCCTTTGTGCACAGAGGATTCTCTGGGTGCAGATGTTGCTCGAAACCGACGAGCTGCTGCAAAAGTCTGGCAAGGAGCCCATCAACTGGAAGGATCTGTGACCCTGAACTGGGTGGGAGGGGGTCCTCTGGGCCGTTTCTAGAAGCTGCCATTGAAGTATTTGTCAGTGACAAAGTCGAATTGAGAAAATAATTGTCCGAGTGATGGTTAAGCACTGGGCACACCAGGGAGAAAGTTTCAGTCAAGTGGCCATGCGCCAGGCCGCCCAGGAGTGGCAGCGTTACCCAGCAGAGACTGTACCCTGCGAGCACGTGTCTGTCTTTGCAACTTGGCTCCCGCCTAGAATACGCGTCAAAGTTTTTGGAAAGGCCGAAACCGGTTTGGCTCAGTGGATAGAGCGTCGGCCTGCGGACTGAAAGGGCCCAGGTTCGATTCCGGTCAAGGGCATGTACCTGGGTTGCGGGCACATCCCCAGTGGGAGATGTGCAGGAGGCAGCTGATCGATGTCTCTCTCTCATCGATGTTTCTAACTCTCTATCTCTCTCCCTTCCTCTCTGTAAAAAATCAATAAAATATATTTAAAAAAAAAAGTTTTTGGAAAGGAGAGGAAATCAAATTCTCTGGACTCTGTTTCTTTTATGGTTAAAGATGGTGAGACACACACCGTTTTAGTATCTAAGTCAGCTGCTCTCTTTTACCTGTAGGTTAAACGTTAGGTTATAAGGTGTTGGGTGTTTTTATATAGAAAAGCCCCCTTCGCACATGGGCCAGGTCCATGCCCTTTGATCCTTTACAGAGCCCTCAGGCCCCTACTGGAAGGAAATGGGATATTTTTTTTTAATTTTTTTTCTTTGCCAGTTCCAAGAAATTAGGGGTCAGTTTCCTGATTATAGCAGAGGAGAAAATTCCTAAGGAACAGCCCTTGCTGTGAGCCAGGTGAGGTGGGTGGGGCCTTGTTTATATTGTTTTCTGGGTGTTTCTATGAATAAGCAGTGGAAGTTGAACCGGAGGAGAAAGGGTTTTGTTGTGTTTTATTTTTTTAAGAAGGGAAATGGTTTTCTCCCATGTGTATCCTGAAATGGGAGAAAAGGCAGCATAGTGCCAAATGCTGTTTTTTCTTGACTGAAATCACTTTGGGATACCATTTTCTGCAACACTGGAGAATTTCGCTCTTTTAAAAAGTATGTAAATGCCTGGCCAACATGGCTCAGTGGTTGAGGGTCAACCTATAAACCAGGAGGTCACAGATCAATTTCTATGTGGATGTTTTGTATTTTTAAAATATTTTTATTGATTTCAGAGAGGAAGAGAGAGATAGAAATATCAATGATGAGAGAGAATCATTGATTGGCTGCCTCCTTCACGCCCCCTACTGGGGATCGAGCCCACAACCTGGACATGTGCCCTTGACTGGAATCAAACCCAGGACCCTTCAGTAATCATTGATGTTTCTCTCGCCCCCTCTCCCTTCTTCTCTGAAATCAATAAAAAAAATATTTTTTCAAAAAGGAATAAAAAGAAAAGGATCCCCGAATATCCAAAGCAATCCTGCGGAGAGAGAAAAAAAAAAGCTGGAGATATTTTGCTACCTGACTCAAATTATACTGCAGAGCTATGATAATCAAAACAGCATGATATTGGCAGAGAAACAGACACACAGATCAATGGAACAGAATAGAGAGCCCAGCTATAAAACCACATGTATATGGACAGATAATTTTTGCAAAGGAGCCAGAAATACACAATGGAGTAAAGATAGTCTCTTCAGTAAATGGTGCTGGGAAAACTGGAAAACCACATGCAAAAGAATGAAACTGGATTACAGTTTCTCCCCTGGTGCAACAATTAATTCAAAATGGATCAAAGACCTAAATATAAGACCTGAAACAATAAGTGACATAGAAGAAAATATAAGTACCAAACTTAGGGACTTTGGTCATAGAGAAAACTTTATGAACTTGATCTCGAAGGCAAAGGAAGTAAAGGCAAAAATAAATGAATGGAACGGTATCAAACTAAACAGTTCTGCACAGCAAAAGAAACTGGCAGCAAAACAAAGAGGCAACCATCCAGATGGGAGACGATATTTGCAAACAATAGCTCCGACATAGGTTTAATTTCCAAAATATATAAAGAACTCATAAAATGCAACACCAAACGAACAACCCAATCAAAAGGTGGGCAGAAGACCTGAAAATACACCTCCCCCAGAATACATACAAACAGCCAATAGATACATGAAAAGATGTTCAACCTCACTGGCAATTAGGGAAATACGATCAAAACTGCAATGAGATACCCTCTCACACCTGTTAAGAGTGTCCATTAGTGCCCTAACCGGTTTGGCTCAGTGGATAGAGTGTCAGCCTGCGGACTCAGGGGTCCCAGGTTCGATTCCGGTCAAGGATATGTACCTTGGTTGTGGGCAGTTACCCAGTGGGGAGTGTGCAGGAGGCAGCTGATCGATGTTTATAACTCTCTATCCCTCTCCCTTTCTCTCTGTAAAAAATCAATAAAGTATATATTTTTTTAAAAGAA